GGAATCTTCCTGCTGACTTTGAAAATTAACTTCCAGGCTAGTTCTAGGTGATTCCAGACAAACAAACAGAAAAGGCAGTGAATACAGCAAACACGGTGTGACTGTGTTTTTTCTAAAATTCTCAATCAGGAAAATGTGTTGAGAAACACTGGTAGTGTGGCCGTTAATGCCTGAGCTCGTTCATGGGGACCATGTTCCATTGAAGTCTTCGTGTCTGCTCCATGAGGAAGGGTGGGTGTTGGTGAAGTTATGTGAAGAAGAGAATTGGGTGTTCGCTATTGCCAGCCAGGAGAAATGCAAGGTACAGGGCCTGGGATGTAGTTTTGTCTTTGTAAATATGATCAAATTGGTTGAAATTTGCATGTCTCTTTAAAGCATCAAACGTGTCTGTGTTTGTAACTCTTCTTGACAGCTGTGTCTGCTCTGGGAGCACTTAAGTTCTTGCCAACATGAATAGAGGTACACAGGGAAAGGATTCTGTGTGGAGAAAGATATCGGAAAACCCCTTTACTGCACCAGGAAAACTGCCTCAGTGGGGGTGCAGTCTGTCTCTACAGTTTTCCATTTTGTTTTTGAAACTATATCAGTGAAGAATGACAATAATTACTGACATTGCTTTTGGTAAAAATCCATGATGTGTAGTAGAAGCACCCAAGTCCTTCTTGCTCCTCTGGATTGCCGTGTCCAAGAACCACTTTTGCTGTTGAATTTGGTGACATAGATGCTCAAAGAGCAGGAATTATTCTCAGGTTTATTATTTGTTGGTATATATATTACACTATCTGTGAATTGAGTAGGTAGCTGCACCATTTTTCATGGTAGCCTTACAGGTTGGTATTTTTTTTCTTCTCTGGTAAAATGATAGTGTAAGAATATTGGCAAGAAATGCCTAGCATCAAAAATCCTAGCCCAGGATTGGAGTTTTAAAAAAATCGTATAAATAGTGTCTCAGAATTAATCTCCATTTATGTCTATGGTAGAACAGGCAATTCCCTCTGCATCTGACAATCAAACCTTATTGTGCAACCCATACAGGTGTTTATAATGAGAATAGTATTAGAAAATTTTAATATACTTTGCAGCTCTCGGTGCCACTTGGCAGCAAGAAACAAAAGGACCCATTTATTTCTTTTTACAGGCTGTCCTCTGTATTAAAGATAATTTGCAATTAGGCTGGGGACAGCTTTTCAAATTAAATTTGAGTGACCCACAGAGATGTTCTTTTCTGTACAATGTTCTATATAAAAAAAATCTGCAAAGTTTTTTTTTTTACTATGGGAGAGCACTGCTCATTTTTACTGTACTAATATCAGAGACCTGGAGATACACATTGTAATCAGCTTTATGCTTTAATTGAAGGTGCAAGGACATTGAATTTTACTGTGTGATGTAGTGAATGGGAAGAATTTCAGTTATGTCTGTAAGGATAATATTCTGAACATGCAGTGTGACCTAAAATTGCCTTTCTAAATTAAGTAAGGTGGACTTAATTTTAAGTAATGTGGACTCAGGGAAATAGCACCAACCTGATTTTAGCCTTCAGACTCTCTGCTCGCTCTTGCAGTTTACCAGTGTTAATACAACTTTCTTTTGTTTTGTGCCTCTGTGCCCAAGACAGTATTTTTTTCCCCTCTTACTAGCTGTTTGCAAGCCTGATGGATTTTAAATGGTAATTTTTTTTATAACATTTGAAGAACAATCTTTGCAGGGATGTTGTTGGCGCTCAGGCCAACTAAGTGCTCCTTTAGTGAGCCAAAAGTGGGTGGCCAGCATCATCCTACAAAGACTTGGCACCGTAAAACTTATTAGGGTTTGTGCTCATTCTGGCTGGGGTAGAGTTAATGGGCTGTGGTTTGGATTTTTGATAATTCAGGGATGGTTTAGTTATTTCTGAGCAAGGCTTGCACAGAGTTGAGACCCTTTCTGCTCCTCACCCCACAACCCAGAAGTTTGTGCATACCTTTCTTGATTAAATATATTGATAAAAAAGATACAATTTACAGATAAAGTATACAGTGTGTCTAAAATATATCTTCGAATTGTAAGTACTTCCCTCAGGATACATCAGAAATTACCAGAGATGCCGCGTGTCTTATTTATGCGCTTTTTCGCCAGGCTCTTCAATTCAGGAGAAATGTTAGTCAGGGTTCTTGACTCTAGAAGTGTGTTAAGCAGAAAGCTGGCTGTTTCAAAAACTGACTTACAGTCATTTGTAGTGCACCACTCCTTAGAAACATCTCAAGGACACAAGTGAAAATACAATAAAAATATTATATTTCTCTTCGCATTCCCAGTGCGGTGGGGCTGTTGCATCATTGCAGCAAGTTGTGAAATCTTATATGTTTTCCTCTCCTCAAAGTATCCATAATTGTGTTTTAACTTCTCTGCTCTTTGTGTATCGGGCTGGTTTTAGTCTGAAAACGTGCTCATGTGCTTCTCCCCCCTTGGGATCCTGCCTGCCTTCTCGCTGCCTGCCTGTTCAAGACAGCGTTTGGGCTTCGTTCACAGCGAAGCGCCAGCAGTGGTGGGACACAGAGGCTCAGAAAATGTTGGGTGTGAGGGCCTGGCCTTCGACAAGGGGTATATTCAACCAGTTTTCATTTGGTCACATCTGTCACTGGCTCCATGTGAACCTGTCTGACCTACACAAGCAGAAAGAACAGAACCGACTCGGGTTCATGGCGCCTGAAAAGGAGGCTGAATTTTTCGGCAGTGAAACCAAAAGCACTCGGAGGGTAGCTGCAGATCAAAATACATGTTATTCACAAATGCTTAAACTTACAGATTTCGTAGGCCAAATTTGTCTTGTGGACGCTTGCAGCCCCTTTTTGGAGCCTGTAAATGAGCTGCCTTCTGTCAGAATTGAAAATCAGCCAGCGGCTTCTAGGAGCACCAGAGCTGTGCGGTCTTGTTCTTTATACACGTGAGCCAGATGGCTCCTCAAAGAGTCCAAAATACAGCTTGTATGTTTTCTTTGTAGAGGAGACAGCAAGGTAATTGCATCTGGCAGTAGTTCATGGTATTTTATGGCTTTGTAATTATTCTTTGGTTTCAGTGTAGAGTCTGTATGCAGAATCTAAACAAAATAATCAATTTGGTTATCGTCAGTCACCTTGTTAAGCATGGCTGTTTACCCATTTCTTATTGTTACTCATTACTTGATACAGTAATAAGGCATAGGATGGGAAGTTAATTCATTTCTAACTACCTAAAGTAATTAATTAGCAATTGGTTTTCCCCAGGTGTACCTGAATGAACTCTCTCATGTCATCTGGGTTTCTACTGCAATACTTTTGGAAACTGTTCTTCACCAAAATTATATTATACAGCTTGGAAGGTTTGGGGTTTTTTTCATGCATTTACATTTTGATGAGCTCATAGTGTTATTAAACATTCTATATTTTGGAAATAGGAAGGTGTGGTAGGTTATTTAGAGTTAACATTTTTTTCTTGGTGCTGTTTGAGGGTACTAGTAGAAATGCAGGTGTTTCGTGCTTACAGCTAAGCACTGAAGGTGGAATTATAGTAAAGGTCGTTAGTAGCATACAACCTATGGTAGAAAGAACTACGCAGAGAGTGTTTTTACAAGAAAGCTGGATGTTTAAAGTGAAGAGTGTTACAATGTTAAAGGGACTGATAGAGGTCACTCAGCCCTACCTCCTCTGAGCTACTGGCAACTGAACACTCAGAAGTGTTGAGGAGTCCAGCACTTGGAAGCCATGGATGGGCTTTACTTTGGCATTTGCTCCATTTGAAATCACTGAGAACTGCACTTTTTTATGGCTGTCAACAGAGGCCTTGCTGCTGCTTCTGTGTGTGCTTTTAGTCGTTCCTTTTCACTTCTCTGGCCCGGGAGACTCAGAATTCTCTTACCAGTTCTGCTGGGTTAGTGTTGATGCTGGACGTCTTGTGGAGGCACTCCCAGGTTCGATGGTGAGATGTGCAGAATTAAACACCTTGATTATGACACCGCGTTTTAAAACCTAGAATAAAAACCAAACCAAAACGTGGTTTAGAGTCCACAAAATCAATGTAGTAATAATTATTCATTTAAAAGAAAATTTACTGGTAAATCTCTCAGGAAAGTAACACATAATCAAGGTAAATGTGTAATTAGAGAAGGGATTTCTGATTATTTCTGTTAGTGCATTTGTTTGCTTTGACGCTTGGTATATTTGTTTATGTCTTTGAATTCAACAGGAAAGTAACACATAATCAAGGTAAATGTGCAATTAGAGAAGGGATTTCTGATTGTTTCTGTTAGTGCATTTGTTTGCTTTCATACCTGGTATATTTGCTTATGTCTTTGAATTCAGCACCAAATTCAACTTTTAAGGAACTGAGAACCATCATCTTCCATTTTAACAGCAGAAGACATATCTTAATTTTTCATTTTACATATTGTTTATTATAGACATATCAAAGAAGGCATGTGAATATTATAATTTTTTATGTGTATATATGTACACATATATTTCTATTTAAAAAACAAATTTTGAAACACTGCCCTGCACACATTTTTCCCCATGAAAAGGATGAGACCCCAAATGCATCAAATTCAATCACTTGATACATAAGCCCTCGTGTACTCATTATGCTGGACAGAGGGTGGAAACCTTCGTGGAAAGGAATGGAATAGAATAAACTTTTATAGATAGGAGCTTATTATGTTGCTGAACGTGACCACATTGTAGCGCTTGCTCCTTTTACAAAATATTCTCCTTTAAAACAGCGTTCTCCTTGGTGACTTTCATTGTGGTTTCTCCCTTAAGCAGTATTATCTAAAGACAGCATGTTATTTGTTGGGCTTATCGGGGGGATACTCATGCCCAGAGAATGTACGTTAACTGCTTACTCATTGTGTAGAGAGCACTGCAAGCGTTAGCAGCTCTTTGAAGCTGAGCTGTTCCAGTCGCTGTTCAGTAGAAAGTCCTCTAGATCTAATTTAGATAAATTCCTTTATTGTATTTCAGAGTTCTTTTGCTGCTATTTGGTAAACAATGAAGGTTCTGTTGCTGAAGGATCCCAAAGAAAAAGACTCAGGACCAGACCCATATATTAAAGTGAGTAAGCTTGTGAAAAGGTAAACTGTTTTGTCTCTTCACCATTAAATAACAGTTTCGTGCATTCATCAGGAATTTAACTGTTTCAAGTGCTTAATCAAAATTAGGAGTGCGTGGCTGAAATTATGCTAAGAAAAAATATGCTAGAAAAACGGCTGTTACTGAAAAAAATATTTGAATTATGGGGCATTCATACTGAATTCCCCATTAAAGCTCTCAGCAGAGTAGTGCTTTCAAAACAGTTTCATTTTAATCAATGAATTGGTATTGATTAGGTTCACATGGGTAGAATTAAGATCACAAAATAGCAGTTTTACTGGAAACATAACGTGAAAAAGAGGTTAGCGGTGCTCTTGTCCTTTCTGTTACTGCCTTTAGTCACGTGAGTAGGTTTTACTTGGTAAGAGCAGTTCTGTTGACTTCAAAGAGTTTACAGAGGTGCGCAGGAATATTTGTAGGACTAAGTGATCCTTTGCCACTTCAGACTTAGGTGCTGGTGTGTACTGTAACTGTTCAGTAGCTGTGTCAGGTGCCTCAGTTCCACGGCTCTTTATTTATTTACTGTTATGTTATAATGCTAAATAACTAACAAACCCAAAATAGATTCGCTAGTAAAAGCAGATAAGATGCCTTTGTATATTACTTCAGGAAAAACAAATATTTGTTCTTTGAAAAAACGAGGATACTGCTGTTTGAAATCTGTTTCAAGAGGTGTAAACCTTTTTTTGATAGGAATTAGGATTATACGGATTTGAAGCAACTTTGATTCCAGTTTTGTCATTTGAATTCGTATCTCTCGAATGCTTATTTGAGAAGGTAGGTTTTAAATTATTTCAACAGAAATATTATCAACATTATTTCTATCTTATTTTCAACAGAATTTAGGCCATGATTGCCAAGATGTCCCCTTTTGGGTACCTCTTCCTGTGTTTTCACACACACAGACGTACATGATATATTATTGGGTTCGTCATAATACACTGTTACATACAACATCAAGTATTTTGCCCATACTCGTTAAAGAATTAAGTTGACCAGGTAGAATTCACTTTTAGGTTAATGAACCATAAATCACAGCAGCTATCTGGGCATTTTGTCACAACAAAAACGTTAGAAGACTGTAGTGACATTTAAAGGTTTCCTGAGGTTCACCCTTATGTTTTCTACTGCATCTCCAAGTTACACGGGATGAAACTGTGTATTCGGTGTTCCCTTTCTGCTCTTTCTTTCAATGTGTGTATTTCATTTTAAAATGTCGTAAAGGTTTTCTGAGAGACGTTCCCTTTATTGACAGTCTCCAACACCGCTGAACTTTTCTAAGTGTTTGAGTGCATCATGATCTGCATCTACATGTGATCTAAGACCATTTTTCCTCTTTTTTTTTTTTTTTATTCTGATCTCTAAGACCCCATGAGTAATCTTAACTGTTCTGTGACGGGGCAGAGGGCAAGCAGCTGCCTGGGGAGTGCGCTCTGCTCTCTGTGTTCCAACTTGGAATAATGGTTCATTTTTCTTGTATGAATCTGTAAGTGCTTCATATGTCATTCACTCATCCAGTGACAGGAATCCTGGTCTCTTCCTACAGATTCTCAGAATTAATGTAATCTGTGCAAGTTTCGTTCTGAAATTGAGATTTGTTAGACATTTCTCTTATAAATACTCTGCTGAGTGTAATATCTGCCCTTTTCAGTTTCAGACATTTATTGAAGTTCTTCACAAGATTATAGAGAATTGATCAATGTATTTTTGAATTTAGTTACTAATTTTTTTTATTCTTTACTGTTTGTAAGTAGCTCTCTCATCCAGAATGTTATGGAGGCCTAGTTTTTACCAGCCCAAGAGCATTAGAAGCCATCAAGATATGCTTAAAAGAGAATAGTAAGAACGAAGGTAAGTGCGTATTTATATCCCTTGGTCTTTCTGTTTCAGTATTTTATGAAGGTTCTAATTTTATTTTACCCACGACAAGGTGTTTGGAGTATGCCTTTTTTTAAAAAGCTGTGTCTCATAGTTCTTTTGGCATCTAAAAGAACTCATGCTAAATTGAGCTTTAAAGGAATTGAGGGTTGGGTTTTCTGCACTTAACGCAATTTTTAGGAATGAAAGGAAGGAGCTTTTGGTGCAAAATGCTAATTAGCGTAAGCTCTTCCAGTTATGGCTATCTTTGCTGAGAAGAGTTGTAAACAGAAACTCATGTATGAGGAGTATTTTGCTGTGGTGCCTGATTTTTGCTCACAAACCACTTTCCTCCCTGAAAGAGAGGAGCATTTTGTCAAAAACGCTATTTCTGTGTCGACTTCATATAAAATGTTACCAGATTTCTCTGTCTTGAATAACAATTTTATCAAGTGAATTAAGCATTAGCTAAAAAGCAGTGAACAAAGGGTGGTAAATAAAAGCCAACAAATTAGCTGTAGCACTCCTGCTAAATAGAAATTTCTAAGTTCTTAGATGAAGTGGTAACTTTTGGCTTTGAGTTTCTATGTGCACTCACATTGTGTCTTCACCTGCTTCATATGTAGACTGTAGTCATATTAATCAATCTACAGCGAGTAAGGTTACACTCTTGAGTAAGCATTAAGTACACTGCCAGCTGCTTTTCACATTTTCAGCAGCAAACAGCTGTATTTTAGGATGTTTGGTCAAGTACAGTCTTTTATCTAGAGTTCATCCCTAGTCTCGATTAGGAATTTGGGGTTCTGCTGTAATACATATTTTATGCAAGAAATGAGTCTTTAGGTCCTATCTGAGTTCCTTTCAAAGGTAATAAATCCTTTTCTTTTTCCTTCTTTAGAATAGTTTCCTCTGATTTTATTTTATTTTTTTACTGTTGTAGTTTCTACTTCTGATTTTCTTCCCCAAGAATACTAGAAAGGAACTCAATGTCCTATGCTGTAGCGTTTTAAAACAAGATATTAAAATCTATTTTTTATTAATATCTATTTTTTTATTAATATCTATTTTTTTACCCATTGGGATTTCAGGCAGAGGGATCAGGTAGCTGGATCTGAGACGTGTAATCTGTAACATACTTACTGCCTAAAGGAGAAAAAACATTTCTTTGTAATTTTATTTTAGTCTCCAGTACATTTTATTTCTGAGCTGATAACTTATTTTTGGTGTTTTTCTTGTATAAAAAAGAGTTGCATTACAAAGTACTGTGGTGAATGGAGGTAGATTTTTTGATCCTTTTATTTATGGTCTTAGAAGATTATATTTGTTTTTTTCCCTAAGCCTTCAGTTTTAAACCAGCTGTTTGTATATCTAAATCTCCCTTTGAACTGTGTGCTGGGTTTTCCTGGGAGTTTTGATGGGTTTTTTTAAATGCTTAATGCCAAAAATATAAATGAACCTTGCAAGTTGCATGGGAGCTGGCACAGGACACGTGTGCATTAAAAATGCTACTTAACAAAAGCAGCTAAGAGCTGTTTACACAAATTAGACTTCTAAAAACATGTCGCAGGCTGCTATTTACACAATGAGAAAGCACATGAAAAATTCATTTTGTACATCCCGATTTGCCGAAATATGTAGCGGAGTATTAATTATTATTATTTTGCTGTGTTTGGGGATTAAACAGAAGTCCAACCGCTCATTTAGCATTCGCAATTGCCCAATGCTTAAATTTAATGTAATGTTTTTCAGAATGGTCGCAATCTCTTAAACACAGATGGAATAGCAAACCAGCGTACGTGGTAGGAAAAGCTACAGCTTCTCTAGGTGAGTATAAAAAAGGAAATCTCAGATAAATCTGTCGTGTAAGTACAATTTTTTGAGTGTTAGCTGCTATTCGAGGCTGTTCAGAAAAATGTATAGGTGAGTTTGAGGATTGAGGGTTGGATTTTCCACATTTAGGCTGTTGTGAGAAATGAAAGAGCTTGTGGTGCAAATGACTAAACTTTTATAAAGGGGCGATTCGGACACCGGGTAATTCTCTACACATTAGAACCGTATGTGTTTAGCTGAGCTAAGGATCTAGCTTCTGTTTGGCCATTACTCCTATTGTAATGTGATGGCAACTGCTTTAAAAATATGGTCGAATTCCCTGGTTTGAGTCTGATGCGATGTGCGTTTTGTGCGCGTGACAAAAACGCAACGTAGATTTTACTTTATGAAAGCCTTTCTGATTGTAAAGTTGCACTGTGGCTTTAGCTTCCGCTAAACCACACAGGAGATATTACAACAAGATTCGCGTTTGAGAATTTTAAAGGGTCTCCATGTTTTTCTGCTTCTAGTCCAAAAATAATTCAGATAAGTACTGGCTACCTCTACAAAACCCATGTTTTTTCAGGCAGGCTGGTACCAATACTGGACCGGCAACCGGTGACACCTTACAAGTGTCCTGAATCAATCAAGTCCTAAATTAGTTAACTTCTCAGAAACTCCTCCCTACTTCCTTGCTTAGGTAAGAGCAGTGTTATGCTCTCGGATTTTCCGACTGGGTTTTGGCCTTCGCTACAAAGACAGGCTCCCTGCTCGCTGCAGCCAAACCGTGCCGGGAGCTGCGGCCCGTGCGGCACAGGCAGCGCTTGCTGTTTCCCCGCTTCGGGTATGAGAGTTTTAAAAACTCTCTGAAACAGCATGACTATCCCCAGAATTCTTCTGCTGCACTTCTTTTCCAGAACCAATCTTTCGTAGCGCGTTACCGTTTCAAATGCTCTTGATTTTTTTTCTTTTCAAAGAAGTATTTGCACATGTGGATCAGGTGATGTCTCCTTTTTGAACGTATGTTTCTGTGATAGTAAATATAAATTGTTCTCATTGATTTGGATATTTCTTTGCTGCTTTTTGGTTACAGTGGAAGAAATTGGCCTTATTCCACAAGGAGAAAAGTCTGGAAATGCTGAAAAATTAGCTGAATATATTTGCTCAAGTAAGTATCTGAAATCTACTTAAATTAAGCAAATATACCTTCCATTCTTTCAGAATTTTCTGATGCTGAGTGTACTCTGAAGCAGCAAAGTACATTACTGTGTGTATCTCTTATGCGTAGAACCCATGAATCCAACTTCTGGGAGTGTGAGTGAACTCTCTAAAAGATAATAAAAATACTTTGAAATACCTACGCAAAGTTTATATGAAATTTTAGACTCTGCAATTAATAGCAATCGATGACCCAGTAGACAAAGTATATTTTCCTAAAAGATCAGAGCTCTAACGATTGGAAATTGCTTCTTAGTCATAAGATTTAAAGGATTGTGACTCATTCTGTGGGATGTTTGGGTGATCAAACTTCCTCTTAACCAGCTGATGCTGGGGAATTTTCACCATGCCATAGTCCAAAGCAGGTAACGAGAACTCCTTCCTCCAAATGAATACGTGGTTTCAGAGGAATCTGGTTTTCAGCAGCAAAGGAGGGTGGTTTTGAAGAAGTTGCAGAAAGGGTTAGTTGAAATTATGACTTATGTTTTGTTTACCAATTCTGCTTTGGTTAAAGCTGTAATGCTGATCCGTGCGCTGCTTCGAAATGTATTATCAGATTTTTGGGTAATTTAAAAGTCTAGTTAGTCTCCCTCCTCTTTTTTTTTTTTTTTTGGCTGTAATTTTTTATAATTTCCAATAGGATTAAGAAACATTTTTAAACTTGGGGGCTGATTATGTTTTGAGCGGATGAGTCAGAACAAGCTGTGAAAAAAGAGGCTGGTTTTGGTACAGCCTGGCTTATAGAAGCTCGGTGAAGAATGTCATGAGCAGGAACTGCCGGGGCAAGGAGTTTAACCTCAGAGCTCCTGCCAGACCTGGGGATGTTCCAGGGCATCCATGGCCGAGGGACGTGCTGCCTTCGGAGTGTCTGAGAATCGTCTGGGAGGAGCAGTTACCGGAAGGAGTCAGCACAATTAGTCCCCAGGCACTCTGAAACACGTCGCTGAAATAATCTCTGTACCAGGTGAAAACCACACCCAAAGCTCAGGGTCTCGGCAGCGACCTGTTGGCTGGCAAATCCTTCTCCGTTACTTTTAGGTGACCTGGGGTATGTCCCCCCTTGTGTAAGAAGGCTGGGAGCTGGATAGTGAAGCCTCCTAGTGAGATTAGGGGGTGGCTTGCAGTCTGATACCAAGGAATCTCCTTCAGTGAAGGACTTTCTGCCCAAAATTTAAAAAGGAAAACAGAATCCTTCATCGAGAGGTTCGTGCAGTGTCCACTAATTAACCAGTGCTGTGAAAAGCCGTGTTATTCCGCCGGCTGTATGAGTTGTAGGAGGATTAATGCTGAAATAGATTTTATCTTATTATTTTCAAATCTTTTTTGCATTCTGTCCCAAGTTCATTCTTTCTTCCTGTAATTTATTACAAGCATATCTGTGATTTCTAATAAAACTTCAGTGTGCGTTTAGGACAGTTGGATATATCTGTTGACTCCTACAAGGGTTCTTCCTTTCTGTTTTTTTGCCCTGAGGCCCCTCTGGTGCTTACTGTTACACACCAAGAATCTACATGCAGTGCTTAGTCTAGCAGTCACCTCTTAAGCATGTATTAATATTGGAATTAGTAAGAAAATAATGTCTTGAGGAGCTCTCATTTATTCTGAAAGATGAAACAGACAAAACCAATGGACGCTGCACACCGGGTATATCCCGTCCTACCCGAGGGAAGTCCCAAAGAACCACGTTTCAGACAGGTCCTTCCCAAATCCCCAACGGGCTGCCACATGTTGGCCACGTAACCGTAATTCGAGGTGGAGGTCGCTGCCCTCGTACAGGACACGAGCAGGTGGGGAGATCCGCTTCCACCCTGGCAGTGGAGGTACAATCTTTCCCCTTGAGGAAGAGAGCTTCAGAGAGATGGAGGCTTTTCAGCACAGCTTTTCTGTCCTCCTCCTCCTCTTTGTCTGCCCGTGAATATTCTTTTGTATGCAGAGAGCTGTCATCTATTGAGGGGACTAAGATTTTAAATATAAAAATTGAGGGAGATTTGTGTTTCCGAGGAGGAGGAGGTAACTTGTGCTGTAGTTGCTTTGCTTTGTAGAACGGCAAGGGGAATAGAAATGCAGTTTATCTCTCATGAGATCTTTTTAGCCAATGCATTCATATTATAGTTACGGAATATTTTTTAATTTACATGCTAAGTAGCCTCTGTCCTCTGAATGGTGGATGTGGTCCCACTGCAAATGTTTTCTGCTGTCCTAGGGCTGTGTCTGTGGTGAAGCACGCGGCTAAACGCAACGTTTGATAGCTTTAAAACATATGAAATGTATCGTGCTTACTCTTTATTAAAAACGTGAGCTAATTAAAGTTCTCATTTGTGTGTTTACAGGAGAGAAACCTAACTCCTCCGCTCTGCTTTTTCCTTGTGGAGCCCTAAAAAGAGAAGTACTTCCTACAGTACTTAGAGAAAAAGGTTGAACTTCCCTTGGAGCTTCATTTTAATTAGTCAGTGATGAGAAAAAGCTGTATCTAAAGCTTGTGAACAAAATTTGAATAAGTAAAAATTGCTGTTTTCTTGGCTAGAAGTTAGAGAATGGGAGTAAAACTGGGGAGGTTGGGTTGTGCTGCCCACAGCTCTGGGACTGAGCCGGCGAGCGAGGCGATTTGCCATGTTCTTCGCTTGTATTCTTGCTTCCGAGATGGAAAGTAACTGAGTCCTGTGATTACAGATGCTTTAGTAGGTCTTGCGACACTAGAAGTGCCTATAGATCCTCCGCAGAATTTTTTCCCATACCTTTTTAGCCTGAGATAGTAAGCTTGGGGCAATTAGTATGTTAAGAATGTTTTACTGAAATAATGGAAGTTTAATTCTGGCTGGATGTTGTGATTGCAGGTGTACCTCTGGAAAGCCTCACTGTCTATCAAACAACCCAACACACTGACCTGCAAGAATCTTTGAGCCGTTATTTCTCACAACAGGTATGGAATGCTGATATAATTTGAGAATTTTTGAGGTTTATTTTAACACCTGGCAGAATATACTCACTTCTCTTTTTTCGGCTGCCTCTTAGTGGTATTTGGGGTGCTACAAGAATATCCTCTGTAGGCTTTTCGTTTGTTTCCCTGTCCACTGCTAAGATAATCACAGAATCACAGAATGTTGGGGGTTGGAAGGGACCTCAAAAGATCATCTAGTCCAGCCCCCCTGCCAGAGCAGGATCACCCAGAGCAGGTCACACAGGAACGTGTCCAGGTGGGTTTGAAAGTCTCCAGAGCAGGAGACTCCACACCCTCTCTGGGCAGCCTGGGCCAGGGCTCCGGCATCCTCACAGGGAAAAACTTTTTCCTAATGTTTTTGTGGAACCTCCTGTGCTCCAGCTTGTACCCATTGCCCCTTGTCCTGTCATTGGATGTTGCTGAGAAGAGCCTGGCTCCATCCTCCTGACACTCACTTTTTACATATTTAAAAACATGAATGAGGTCACCCCTCAGGCTCCTCTTCTCCAGCTGCAGAGCCCCAGCTCCTTCAGCCTTTCCTCCCCAGGGAGATGTTCCATCCCTCCATCATCCCTGGGGCTGCGCTGGACTCTCTCCAGCAGTTCCCTGTCTCTCCTGAGCTGAGGGGCCCAGAACTGGACACAAGATTCCAGATGTGGCCTCACCAGGGCAGAGCAGAGGGGCAGGAGGAAATCCTGTAATCCTGTAGCAAAAGTTCCAGACAAAGAGCAAGGCTCTCAGTTCCTTGTTACAGCCATTTTAAATCAGCTTAAAAGACACGATGCCTCCCTTTGAAGAAGAAAAAACTTTTCACATTTTGTCTAATTTTCAAAATACGTGCATGTTTCAGAATTATTGGGAAATAACTGCATACATAATCACATATCACATAATCACGTATCACATAATCACATATCACATAACTGCATACATAATCACATATTCAGTTTATTCCTTTGAGCTGGACGAGACTGCTTCTTAAGTAATGCCATGTCAGAAATTATATTTAGCTAGGATCTTTATTGAGCAGCTTTATTATTAATTGTTCTTAGTATAATTGAAATATCACTAGACATCTTTGCCATACATTACAAATCAGAATCCTGTAGTCATCTGCCTTGCATAGTTTCAGTGTTCCTTCTCTGATTATTAATGTTTTTCTCTTTCTAAAACCATCTAGTAAATGTCATTAATCAACAACCAGTGAAAGATTTGAAGGTGCTAATAGTTGCTTTTATTTTTTTCAAGACTGGCTTTCTGAATTTTCCATCTGTAGGAGCCCACATGACATCTAGGATTTATTTGATTCAAAATACAGCCTTCCCTCCTTACAGAAACTTGGCCTGCTTGAGCACGTTGCACCTCGTTTTAAAAAAATCTCTGCATTAATGAAATTACATCTTGATTTTAAAGTGAGGTTTTTTTGCGAGAGGTTATGGCACGTGGAGGCTAACTGCTACCAGCCGGGAACTCCGGGAGCCCACAGAATCACAGAATGTTCGGGGTTGGAAGGGACCTCTGAAGATCATCTAGTCCAACCTTCATCCCAGCACACCCAACCACTACACCACAGCCTCAAGTGCTAGATCTACTTTTTTTTTTAAACACCTCCAGGGTTGGTGACTCCACCACCTCCCTGGGCAGCCTGTTCCAGTGCCTCACCACTCGTTCAGTAAAGAACTTCCTCCGAATATCCAATCTAAACTTACCCTGACGCAACTTGAGGCCATTTCCCCTTGTCCTGTCATTAGTAATTAGAGAGAAGAGACCAGCACCAGCCTCACTACAGCCTCCTTTTAGGTAGTTGTAGAGGGCAAGAAGGTCTCCTCTCAGCCTCCTCTTCTCCAGACTACACTGAGTGGCGAGTGGCAGTTCCAGTCCCCATGGTCTTTAGTTCGTAGCAGATACACAAGTGAGCCAAGAGCACCTGTGCTTTTTGTACCTTCCCAAGTGTCAGTGCGGAGCCCTTCAACCATGTTTCTCCCGCAGTTTTTAGTTGCTCTTTACTGATGACAGTGGTGTCCGTGTGTTTGGCACCCGTGTAAAACGCCGAGCGGCTCAGCTGCTTTCCGCACTCGCTCCAGCCTCCTTGGGTTGAGCCCGGCTTCCACACTGGGCACTATAAAATAACAACAGGTGTAGGTTGGGTGCAAGTGGTGTGTTTCTGGTCGGGCAGAAAATAGTGGTAAAGGAGGCACACGAGCATTGGGTCTGCCCCTTGCGGCGCGCTGTAGTTTTAAAGTATCTCCTCGTCTTTGCCAGAGCATCTCAGGCTGGGCAGAGCTTAGGGAAAACCACCGGAGCTGGGAAACGGAGCGGATGTGCCGGACTGAGATGGATGGGAATGGATTTAGGGAAGTGACATGTTGAATTTTCTCGCTAAGCGGAAAAATGAGGATGGCTCCAGAACACTTCTCAGTGTATTTATCAGCAAGCGCTCGCGTGACGGAGTATTTGGTTGAAGTCACACCTCAGTTTCAGCATTCGGTGGTAGAAGGGGAATTTGGGGGCAGCCTGCACCGCAGGAACCCCTTCCCGTTGGCTTAAAGGCTGTTTCTCCTCAATAAAATCACCTCATGCCCATAGAGAGACTGAAGGGATTTCCCGGAAAGCCTACGGCTACGCTGCAGGGAGAGGAGGTTACCTGGGCCAACCTCTGGTTATTTCTTTTCAGGGAATTCCGGCAAGTGTCGTGTTCTTCAGTCCATCGGGTGTCAGATACTCCCTCCAGCACATTCAGAAGCTATCGGGAGATTTTATCAATGACATCAAGGTACCTTCTTTTTAAAAAGTGGTGAAATAACGATAAGGGGGTAAGTTTGGAGAGGGCGAATGAGAGAGAGGAAGGGTGTTACACCCATTTCAAACCTATTTTCTCTTTTGTTTGTGTTCATTTCTCTGAAAAGAACCTACACTTATAGCAAAACCAAATGTTATTATATAGCTGAAAGCTTTTTTTTTTAAAAAAAGTAATTGTTTTCCCCTAGAACTTTTTTCACCCAGTCTCCACAGAGGTTTCCTCTCTTTGTGAGGTTGAAGGTGTGAATAGTTCTTGCTTGAATCAGCAATTACAGGCGGAGCCTGTTACCATTCCTCTTGCTTTTCCTGTTGTGTGGGGCTAAGACCTTTAAATGTCTGTAATTGTGAGATAAATAATCATCTTCCCTGAGTCCTTTCTAAGTAGCTCAACTGCCAGGTGGTTTTTAACGCTGAAAACCTTCAGCCTGGAATGGTGAGATGCGCACGTTGACGTGCTGACTGTGTCGGCAGAGGAGGAAGGATCCGTGTGGAAGCAACCAGTAAGAGCTGACACCACACCTGACCACGCTTTGAGAACGGCGTAAAGCGTCATTTCGGTATAAAATCTCATTTCAGTTCGCTGCCATCGGGCCAACCACCGCCGAAGCCCTGGAAGCAGGAATCGCCGTGAGCTGTACTGCCGAGAGCCCCACGCCCCAGGCCCTGGCTGTCGGGATCCAAAAAGCACTTCACTCCCACACCTTACCGAAATGAGGGCAGAGCGCGCAGTCGAAGCTGAATATGGTGCTCTAGAGGGTTTTTGTGTTTTGCAGACCCGTTGTCCTGCAAGAAAGTGTTTTTCAGGACTGTGCAACACTTGTCAGGGCTGGGTGTGAGAGGTTTGCATCCAAGTATCTAAGAAATCTAGAATTTGTCCAGCATAAAGCGTCTCGCTCTTCCCCTTTTTCTCATGTGTGCAGTGGAAATAATTTACGTGGACATTCCTTGAAAACTAGTTCTAAGAGGCTGATCTGCATCAGAGCAGTATATGGAAATAAACGTATCACCTCAGGTATATCCTAGCACACAAGGCTAAGGATTTAGTTTCTCTATATAGAGTCACTTTTACATGAACACTTTCTTTTCTGTTTGTAACATAAAAGCATCCATACAGTACAGTATGTTCTGTTTTCCAGATATTTCTATTAAAGCGATGACTGTAGGTTCTCAGTGGAACAGGACAATTCTTGCCATGATGTTGCACGGTGTGGAGCTAATGGCAGCAGGTCAGCTGTTGCCACTAAATATCTTTAGAGCACAGGGTCTTAAAAAATTAGGTTTTGGTTTCTTTTCCTGCAATGAAGGAGGGTTTATTAACAGAGAAATAAACTGTCTTATCATTGTTAATAAAGGTGTTAGAGTTGTCTGATTTGGTTTACACTTTGTTTCTCTGCGAAAGGCAACAAAGTAATCCCATTTAGCACTGATGCTAAGAAATGCAGAGAAGATTTAAATCATAATATACTCAATTATAATCCCCATGAAAGTCATTCACGGTGTTAGTACAGTGCTGAGGTTCATCAGATGACAGAGAAATCCTCATGTGCTGCAAGTTCCTGTTCGCTTAACACTGGCTGTACGACCTGGATTTCCCCTGAGGTCAGATGCTCCATAACTAGAGGAAGAGCTAAATCCGAACCCAATTGTGTTGATACAAACTGAAGTCGCTTCAGAGTGTGCCTGTGGATTCACCGGTCAGGCCGGGCGCAGCAAGACAACCGCTTTGCTTTATAAAGCACTTCAGTTTCTTGTGATGAAATAGGATCTTGGGACTAGGCTAAATGCTGGAAGACAATGGTGGAACAGATACTTAATCCTTAGAGAAGCACATCCTGCAGGATACTGGAACCACTCGGTGACTGAATGGAGCTGCAGGCCTGAGCAGACACGCCCCAGAGAGAGAAGGCAGCGAGTGATCACACAGCAGTTGTTTACTTCCCTGTGGCTTCTTTTTTTTCTTTTAAAGACTGTTGAAGTTAAGCTGCTGGAGGTTCAGATTCAGCTGGGTAACATCATTATAACATAAAATAGGGCTCATCCTGGAATCACAGAATGGCCGAGGCTGGAAGGGACCTAAGAGATCATCTAGTCCAACCTCCCTGTCATGGGCAGGGACGCCTCTCAACCAGATCAGGCTACTCAAGGCTCCGTCCAGCCTGGCCTTGAACACCTCCAGGGAGGGGGCAGCCACAACGTCATCTCTCCATTCAAAAATAAATCCATGGCAGAGCGAGGATTTGGCATTCTGCTCAAGGCCCTGCAGCACTGCTGGCAGCGCCGATGTCCAACAGAGGAGAGAGCAGGGAGGAGATTTGTGTCAGCTGGAGCCCCGGGCAAGAGGCAGAAGGGGACACAGGGGCAAGAGAACTAGAAACAGCAGCTGATTGTGGGCTTGTGCTCCCTCATGCTACGTGTAAGTTACGCCTCGTTGTCTCACGCATCAGCTGAGGCTCATTTCTATGTGTCTTTCCAGCAAAATTCAACAGTTGCCATCACTGCCAAGCACCACTCACTTACTGCTTGTAAGAGGACAATAGAAAAATGAGGCCATAAAGGGTTCTAGCAGGAAATGAGGTTGCCCTTGGTTTGCTACAGCAGGCAGCCCGTTCCTTCTTGGCCTGTGGCAAACTGCCGATAACGTGGAAGCCTCGATTTGCAACAGGAGAGGTTAACACGCAGGTGAGGCAGAGCTGGCTTTGCTGTGGGATGTGGAGGCCACACAAACACTTGCTGCGACTCCACTGATGCCGTGTCCGAATCTGAACTTTGACTTGTCAGTAAGAGACACCAGTTGGAAAACACCGGCTCTGTACCTTGGATCATGGTAGCGCTTAGTAACGCATTTCAGTAAAAAGCTGCCTCGAATTTCCTCTGAAGAAAGCGCTCCCTTTCGGCAGGGACTGCAACAGCGTGAAGCCAGTAACACGCTCAGATGGGCAAAATGTCTTGCAAAGCAGCCCCTTTACGTGCCTGTTTCAGTGCCAGGAGAGAGAGATTGTGCTTTACTCTGACGCTTTTCTTTGGGACAGACCTGGCCTGAACAAAGTGAAAGCTGTGGTGACGCCTGCACTGACCTCTTGCGTTCCGACAGCCGGCCGCATCCCATCCCAGCAAAGCTTTTCCCCTTAGGGCCAGCAACCTGCCAGCGGTATGAGCAGGAGTCTGTTCTCTAACCAGGAAAATCTCCCTCTTCTCACACCTGCGACTGTTCCCGCTTTCAGGCCCCTGGCTCAGTCACCCCTCAGCTGCTCTGCGCTGAACAAAAGAGTTTTGTCACAAACACATTTTTGCTGCCCCCTCAGCCCATCAGGCTTCCCGGTGGTAACCACTGTCAGCATCGTGCTTTCGGCTGTCTTAGAAACCTGCTGTTCACTCTGCTGCAGCTTAGACCTCACCAAAAGCCAGGGTGGGAAAAGACACAGGAGCTGAAGCTCCCAGACTGCTCTTGCTCAGAGCCCTCAGTCCGAAGCCAAAGCACCAGAGCAGACACAGACAAACCCACCACCTTCCATCCTTTCACAAGGCTCTTTTGCTTCTCTCGGGTACATTTGTGCTCTCTGGTGCAGCAGAAAGATCAGGTTTCTTCTGAATCAGAATCCTAGAATGGCCGAGGCTGGAAGGGACCTTAGAGATCATCTAGTCCAACCTCCCTGTCATGGGCAGGGACGCCACCTCTCGACTAGACCAGGCAACACACGGGGACTGAGCAGGAATCAAACCCACGACTTTGGTGTTGGTCCTTGTTGTCAGCACCACGCTCAAACCACTGAGCTAACCGGCCCCCAGGAAGATGGATCGAAGGATGCACTTGTGAAACCATGTTGTGAACTGTCAGGATAAAAATTTCTACAACCCAGGCGTTTCTGGGTGAAAATACGCTCCATCTGCATAAAAGCATTTTTGTGTGGCTCTGGGCCTGCCAGCAAGAACAACCTCCTCAGGACAAGCAGCTTAAATAGTTAATTCACAAGTTGTGTGTAAGTACAGAGAGATTAAAATAGCCACATATGCACATGAGAAAACTATTAATACTTTAAATAGTGTTTTATACTGTTATTGTACAATACTGAGCCACATTCATTTGTAGAAAAACAGTAAGACAGCAGATGTTACAGAAAACTTAAAGTAATATATATTTCCAAAAAGCAAAATTCTCACATGCTGAGATCAGAGCACACTCATTTGTTAGGCCTGATTTTACAGATGGTTTTTGCCCAGCTCCTGCTGCCTTTCAAATAGTTCTAATTCCGCTGAGCAGCTTGCTTTGCTGAGGAAGGTCCTAAGAGTCAGAACCAATAAAAACAAGGCAGAGAAAGATTTATATTTAATAAATAATTTTTTATTTAAAAATATGCTCTCATTTATTCACAGTTTCAAGTCTGAAAAAGATAATACTATTCTTGAAGAAATCGAACACAGCTAAACCCATTCGCTTCCTGGGGTAAATGAAGTCCCAGCAATGGCAGGTATTTGCAGGAGTCTTGCCCCAGAGCTAGGAAGGCACACTTGTGCAGGACAGGAACTGTGAGAAAAGTGTCCACGTACTCAACAAATCTCCGTGTACAACTTGCGTTCATGTGACCGGTTAAAGTGTTTCCAGGAAGCCTTGCTTACAAAGTGTTTTTCACACAGTAGCAAATCAGAGCAAGGGGGAAATGACACTTTTCTGCAAAACCTTTATGTCACTGCAAAGCCCCATTAGCTCTAAGAGGAAAACACGTGAGTTTCTCCAACATAAAAAAATAAATAAATTGCAATTCTATCCCAAACCCCAAACTGGCCTTTCAAACAAACAACCACCAGTAACCCAGCTACCTCAGGGTTCCACAGGATAAAAGGGAATTCCTGGCCTTTCCCAGATGTACAACACAACAACGTGGGTGATATTATCACCCTCCATAAATACAAATATCCCAGGGGGAAACCCACCGCTGATCCCCCGCAGAGCAAGGCACTGGTTCTGCTGTTCCCCAGCACTGCGGTCACTGAACTCCTCCGTTAGTGGCTTCGGTGTCCGGAGTCAGCTGCTCCAGCAAATTCAAGATGACCTCGACTCGTTCCAGCAGAGTCAAACTCTTGTTCGCAGTGGCACGCAGCAGCAGGGAGTAAACTTGCTTGTTGGTTTTCAGAACAACTTCTTCTTCGTGAATGCCCCTAAAAAGAGAAAACAGATAGTACAAGCTATTCACCTGGCCACGGTATGTTATGCTGGAAGTTATTTGATAACAGCAGCAACGACTCCCTTCAGGAGATGACAGGGCTGGTGTGATCCGAGGCTCTTCTCTCCTTAGTTCCCATTTCCTCCTGTTCTCCAGCGCTGCAGGCAGAGCCCCGGTTTATGCTGCAGGAGGGCGGTGGTGTTCCAATTTCCACGCGGCTCCAGTCTGCCCGTTTTATTAACTCATAATCCCGAGTCACATCAAAAAGCCTCCGAATGCGGGTCTCCGTGCCAGAACCCAGCAATTCTGTCTAAGCCAGTGTCTCATCTGATCGCGCCAGACACAAGCAGACACCCCAACACTCGGGAGATTTGCTCCCCAGCCCCGAGCTCTCCCCTCTACACCGCCACAGACACTGCTTTTCCATTCAAGTCTGAAGCCCGTGATCTGGCCTCATCCTCTTAATTCCACACATCTCAGCTATTTCCCTACGACACAGTGTTCCACACACCCAAGAGTTTTTCCTTCTTCACAGCCTGAGCTCTGACCAGTTTT